TGGGCAATCATTTCACCAGTACCTCATCTGATAAGTGCGAGCAATTCGCTAACCACTTCAAGGGTGCCTCAATGGTTCTACGTCATCTCCAGCTCAAGTCGAAAATGCTTGTAGAGGCACGCCACGCAACGTCTGTTCATTGGGAAATTTTCAGATTTCTCTCCAACAGCTTAAATCTGCCATCGATAAATTGAAATACTCCACATCACCTAACCATGATGGTATTCCGTCATGTATCTTGAAGAGATGTTGTGATGCTATGATTAACCCTCTGACTCAACTGTTCAACATTTCCTTGCGTGAGCGTAAATTTCCCTCCAGCTGGAAAACTTCCATGATGTTTCCAGTTCACAAAAAGGGCGATAAGCGTAACATTGAGAACTATCGTTGAATAAATTCACTGTGCGCCTGCTCGAAGATTTTTGAGATCATAATCAACGACACCTCCTGCAGGAATTATATTACCTCAGATCAGCACGGATTCTATCCCAAGAGATCGGCATCTACGAACCTCGTCCAGTTCACTTCATTTTGCTTGCGTAAAATGGATATTGGCACATAAGTTGAACGACTTGAAAGACTTGGTGTTTCTTCAAACTTGACCTGCTGGTTTAGATCATATCTTACGGACCGGAGACTCATTGTGAAGATTGGACGTGAATGTTCTGCACCGTTCACCAACATATCAGGTGTGCCACAGGGGAGCAACCTGGGTCCCCTGCTCTTCTCAATTTTCATCAATGCGTTATGTAAAGCACTGCCCCCTGGCTGCCGCTTATTCTATGCTGATGACGTCAATATTTACATGGTGGTGAAATGTCTTCAGGACGACGTCGCATTACAACAATTAATAGACCATTTCGCTGAGTGGTGCTCCATAAATAGGATTACGCTAAGCATTCACAAAAGCAATGAACCCAACCCAGAACCCAATCATGCATGACTACAACATCGCCCAGCAGCCTCTTGAGCGTGTTTATCAAGTACGGGATTTAGGAGTTATTCTTGATTCTGCGCTAACATTCCGTTTATTTATTTAGAAATTTTATTTATTTGTCTGCATCAACAGGCTGTGTAAAGCCCCAATGATGATTTAAGTAACCTATATAAGTAAATCAAAAAATAAAAACTAAGAATAAAATACATAAATAAAACACACAATCATTCACGGTTAACTGTGCCAGAAAAGAACGATGAGAAGTATCTTCGTACAGCTGTCGAGGCATATGGAAATCGAAGATGCCCGAGACTCGATTGAACACTCGTTGCAGCCCACCTATTGCACCGTTCATGCCATAGTTTGTGCGCTGAAGTGGCAATCTCAGCAAAACGTTGTTACGTAGCGCACGGGGTTGGACGTTAATGTTGACTTGCCCCAAGATTGCACTGCAATCAATTCTACCTTGTAAAGTGTCCGCAATGAACAGGGCCCTAGAGGTGTCTCTTCTAGTTCGGAGAGGCTCCAGATCAATCAGTTGGCAACGACTTTCATAGCTGGGCAGATGAAATGGGTCTCTCCAAGGCAGCTTCCGCAGAGCGAATCGAAGAAAACGGCGTTGAACGGACTCAACTCTCTCAGCACCATTGTTGTAGTTTGGACTCCAGACCACAGAACAATATTCCAGAATGGATCGCACCAAGGAACAGTACAGTGACTTCAAACAGTAGATATCGGAAAAATTCTTTGCTATCCTGAAGATAAATCCCAATGTCCTAGACGCTTTGTCAACAACGTACGAGATGTGCTGCTTGTACGTAAGTTGAGAATCCAGAATAACACCCAGATCTTTCACATGGTTCACACGGTCGATTACAGTGCCTATAAGTTTGTATTCAAATGTGATTGGTTCTTTCTTCCGAGTAAAAGTAATCACTGAACACTTAGTGGGGTTAACCACCATTCGGTTCAAATTACACCAGCTGGCAAAGGCTTCGAACTGACGTTGAAGGAAGTGACAGTCATCAATCGAGCGGATTCGTAGGTAGATTTTAAGATCGTCTGCATACGATAGTCGTGGGCCTTCGATGACCATGTTCACACCATTGAAGTAGAGTAAGAAAATCAAAGGTCCCAGGTGACTTCCTTGAGGTATTCCTGACGTAGCTAGATAGATATTGGACCGGTTGTCACCAATGGCAACCATCAGTTGCCGATCAGTGAGATATGAACGAAACCATCGCAAGACGTTGCCGCTGACCCCAAGTCTATGCAACTTGGCAATCGCGATGGCATGGTTTAGCTTATCGAAGGCAGCTGACAAGTCGGTGTATATGACGTCTGTTTGAGTCCTCTCTGCCATGCTTTCCGTAAGATACGATGTCAAACACAGCAGATTTGTGGAAGTAGAACGACCGGAAGTGAAGCCGTGTTGATCACCACTTAGATACTGCTTACAATGAGAGAGTAGAGGCTCCATGATGACTAACTCGAATAACTTCGAAACTGCGCTCAACGACGTAATTCCACGATAATTGTCCACATCCCGTTTGCTGCCCTTTTTGTGGATAGGAAACATATGTGCGAATTTCCAACAAGATGGAAATGTACCACTCGAGATGGACAATCGAAATAGGTGAAGCATGGGCATCAGCAAGCTGGCGATATGCTTTTTCAGGAATACGGAAGGAACGCCATCGGGTCCTGGATTGTAGGACGACTTGAGTTGTGATGCGGCAGTGGAAATCATCTCGACGTTGACATCCATCGCACCCAGTGTTTGACCGTACAGTGGAACATTACTAGCTGCTAGGGTAACGTGTTCGTCAGTTAATCTCTCATTCGTGAAAACACTGGCGAACTTCTCAGAAAACAAGCGACAGATCTGCTGAGGAGTGGAAGCAACTGCTCCATTCAACACCATTGAAGAAGGTAGGCCGGATTCCTTGCGCTGCTCATTTACGTAATTCCAGAATGACTTCGGGTGCGACTTGAGTTTTCTCTGAATCCCTCGTTGATATCGCGAATAGCATCGACGGCTAACTCGCTTGAACTCATAATTGAGCCTAACGTAGTGACGTTTCAGCGAAAGCGTACGATACTTAGTGAATTTTCTTAATGCGGCTCTCTTGGTCGACTTCAACCTACGCAGTTCACTCGTCTGCCAGGGAGGATGAGAAATTTTACGGTGAACTCTTTTCGGAACGTGCCTGTCAATGACATAAGCCAAGACATGTGAAAATGTTTGCGCAGCGGTTTCAACATTATCAGGATCGAGGATGCTCTCCCAATCTATACTAGATAGCACGTTGACGATACTACGGTGATCGGCTTTCCGGAAATCGTATGACACGGTCGTGGAAATGTCGTCAAAGACCCGATCGTGATTGTCAGCAACAGTGACAACCAAGGGAGGGTGATGATGTACTTGCTTTACTAGTGGAGAAGGTGCCGTGGAGATGAAAGGAGCGGTGTCCTGAACGCTAACGAAGCAGAGGTCCAGGCTACGGTTGTTTTCGTTGACTACGTGGTTTATTTGAGATAGTGTTGCTGTACTATAGCAGTCGAGAAGGCTAACTGATCCTGTATGAAATACAGAGTGTACAGGGTCTGGGTAGAGAAAACCGCTGTAAGATGGTTTCCAGGAAACACCGGGTAGATTGAAGTCACCCAGAACGATTATCTCATCAGTTGGTGTCGCACTCTCCATTATGGTGAAAACGGACCGGCAATGGGTATCGATAAGTTCGTTGTCACGAACCCGGTCAGGTGCAATATACACCGCACATAGGTACAGTGTGCGATCGCTCAGTTCTACGGCCACCCAAACTTGTTCCACACAGTTCCACAAGACGTTTTCAATAGCTCTCGCCTTTAACACGGAACGAACTGCCGCGAGAACACCACCTCCAGTAGTTCGCGAATCGAGCCAAGTCTCGACAAAAACGATGACATCGTAGCACCGGTCCCATACAGCTAAGTGGTAGTCAAGAACACCAGAATTCATTCCGCCTACGTTTTGGTAGTAGAAAATGACGTCGTGTTTACTACGGTCGGTGGTCGCACGAGGTAAGGCGTTTTCCCTGGAAGTCATGGAAATATCAGGTGGCGAAAGGATATGAACAATCTCAAGTGGATACTCGCCGTAGTGAGTAGGTTGGAAGACCCCCTCTCCCCATCCAACCACAGGCCCGGAACGACTATGAAGATCGGAGGCGGCAGATGGCAGGACTGGGTCAGAGGGATTGGGGGCTTCCACAATGCTTTCTACAGCGCGTCCCAGGTTCCAATTAACAGGAGTAGAAGCATTTCCTCGATCGGTGACATCCAGAGTGCTGAAATTCAACTCGGCATCAGGCAGCGAATGTTCAGAATAATATTTGTACTTGCCTGACATAGCAAGTTGGAAGACCCCCGATCCACATCTAAGCTCAGGGCCGGGACGACATTGATGTACGCTGGCAGGAATCGGCACGACTGAGTTAGAGGAACCGAGGACTTCCCAAGTGCTTTCTACGGTGCGTCCCGGTTGAAAATACTCATCGTTCGTTCTTGCGATGCGTCTATTTGTCCGAAGTGCAGCAGCAACAGGATTTACTTCATCATGGTCCGGACAGCTAATGATAACCTGCACACTAAGATTATTTTACAGATTTCTGTAAAATTTTACCGAAATCTCAACAGCTGAACGTTCGGTAAACAATTTTACAGTTTTCCTGTAATTATTTACAGATATCTGTGAAAAATTCACAGATATTTGTGAAAAATTACAGCAAATCTGCGAAACTGTTTACCAAACGTTCAGCTGTTGAGATTTCGGTAAAATTTTACAGATCTCTGTAAAAATTTCTAAGTGTGTGGGTGCGGGAAAACTCGTCACGCAACGAAAAGCTCGAATCAAAACAGTACTTGCCTGTGCAAGCATGGTGGAAGACTCCCTTTCCACCACCAACCACAGCACCGAGACGGCTGTGATGAACGGAGGCTGCGATATGCCGGACTGGGTTGGGGCGATTGGGAGCTTCCATCAGGCTCTCGGTTGAATTTCTAGAAGTGTAAGCTGTCACTCCATAGGGGCAGCATTCGTCAATTGGGTGATATTCAAGCTTCGTGAATCTTCGAACTCACGGAACTGGATACTCTCAGGCCAAGAGTCGCAAGAAAGTGCCAGGTCACGCAGTTCTTTCTTGACGCCAATTTTGAACGATACGAAGTTCAGCGTTGTTGGATCTCTACCTTTGGGTACCAGTTTGGCCACCATTGGTGTTTCACTAGGGTCCAGTGCCAGACAGTCTCGAACGAGTGACGCAATATCTTCGTTCGTGGTACTGGGGTGAAACGCCGATAAATATACCCACACCTTATCCGCATTTTGGTTAACTGTTTTAATCGACTCACTGGGTGGTTTCGTGCCGCTGAGAATCGGTTTATCGTTCGAGTTAATCGAGGTCCGACGACGCTTTGGGGTGTTACGATTAGAGTTGAGACGATCCGATCTAGGCCAAGACAATGTCGATGTCGAAGCGGATGGTAGTTTCGAGTCTACTTTGGCCGCTAGGACGGCCACTGCCGAATTCAATTTATCAATGTCCGCCTTCATCGAATCGACAGCTTCCGGTATTAAAGAGCTCTGCGCGCTGTCCCGGCTGACGATGTTGCGGAAATGACCGTTAGTGAAAAGCTCGGAACAGTGATCGCACATCCAGAACACGTTTTTCTCGTACAGTCCCAGCTGGTCAAGAAGCTCCAGTTCAACCTTGGCGCAAATGATGTGAAAAGTATCACCGCAGAATCCACGACAAAAAATGCGTTCCTTTTCGGAAACGGTCTTCTGGCACTTTTTACAAGCCATGGTCGAAAATTTCTGACCGATGGTGTAAGTACTATGCTATGCTATGCAAATGCGCCGAAGGGTAGGTTTACATTAAAACGATATTATCTTAAGAGCTAACCGACAGCTTGGATTCATCTTCAAGATAGCCAACGAATTCCGTGACCCTCTCTGTCGATTAGCAAGGAAATTGACTATGTGCTCCACAGGTAGCAGTATTAACAACCGGTGGAAACTAACGATTTTAAATTGGCTCACTACTTGACTAGCCTATTGATCCCAAGCAAATCGATTAACGTACCCCATTCCAGTCAAAATTCTAGAATTACATTATGTTTGTTTTGATTCGCTATGCATGTTTGACAGATAAAATGAGGGGCAGATGGATTTTCTTTTGGTTCGACGGGTGCATCGATGGACCGAAGAGAGTACCAGAGCTGAGCCAAAAAGTTGAGCACGTTTCTTCGGAACCTTCTTCTCTAAGGAACTACCAACTACGATACTTTTAAATTGTCCGTTAAATGCTTGTTCGATGTTGAGTGTTATGTATGTTTGTCTGTGCTTTTAGAATCAAAATTAAAGCCAAATAGATCATCTCACGACCACACTTATAACTAAAACAACATGTGAAAAGGGCCTATGTTCCAAATGTAAACAATGGCTTTAAACGTCGATTTCTCGCGGATTGAGACTCATTAAGGAAAACGGCAGCATCATGTAGAGTAAGTTTGCTCTATCAAATAGTGTAGTTAGTTTGCGTGGACTAGTTGTGATTCATGAGCAATCGACGTTTAAAGCCATTGTTTACATTCACCACATAGGACATTATCACATGTTGCTCTAGAAGTAATAGTCCAAAGGGTCTAATCGAAATTTTAATGCACGGCCGATGAAATCGACTCAAAATTTATTGGTTTTTCACTCATAACCAGAAAAACGTTGGTCACTCATAGACTGAGTGATATGCTAAATCTGCTGAAATATGATTATAATCGACGTAAATTTTAATCAGCCTAAGAGATACTAATAGACTGAGTGAAACCTCTCTCGAATTTCCTCATATTCGAAATGATTGATGATTGATTTCTTTATTATAGAGACTTTCAGCCGTTGGCTGGTTCGTCTCTGAACATAATCGAAATGTTTGTCCTGGAAAACAGTGGAAACCTTTACTCAGTCTTTGAGTGACCTGAGTTTTTGCGAATTTGAGTGAACGGAACTCAAATATTAGTCGACGGCAACGGTCGTATGCCTTATGAAGTTGAATATTATTTCTAAAACATACTGATAAATTCAAAAACTTATAATATAATATTCATTCTTGAGTGCCAATGAAAAGAGGGAAAAGGATAAGTATGTTTTAACAAAGCTCCCTCATTTGAACAGCAATAACATAATGCGACACTCTTCAACACCATTCCACCAGTTAAGATCACTAGAGACGCACAAGGCATTATGGTCATTAGGTATACACGATATTTCAAAACTACCCAAATTTGGGTAGAATACACCCACATAGGTCAAAACTGAACCATGTTCGATTGTGATCATGGCATCAATTCGTATCGAAATCGCACTACACTCGTATGAACAGAAACCCCATCAAACCATGGATTGGATTGTGTTATCTGCATTCACCAAACAACAAAAGGAAATGCGAGAGCTCGGACAAATTTTGTAGCCTAGAAATTCACTGCAGCAAAAAATTATCAGCTATAAATAACCACTTAAAAGAGGGGTTTGATTTCTAACAATAGTTTCCTCGGCAACAATAGTGGTTCAATTTATAATAGAATATAGTACATCGACATACTACCGATGATAGAACATTTACAATTAGTTTTGTTTTACCAAGCTCGGACATTTTATTACTGAGATTTGCACAGTCAATAATGCCTTTTCAGAGATTTCAGCAAACATTACTTTTGTAAGCTGAGATTCAGCGAAACATTTTTCAAGAATTAGCAATCAAACGTCTCCTTTTTTTACAATTTGTTTGCCAGCAGCTCGGCTGTGCAAATCTCAGTAATAATTGCCGAGATTCAGCTGAGTGAAAACAATTCTGATGGATTTATTTCTAGTGCTGGAGTCTACTATGGTGTGCATAACTAGTAAAACTTAATCGCCATGGTTCATCTTACTATCTCTCACCTAGACCAGTTCCAAACTTCAAATGTCTTGTGTTTATCGTCCAGTGACCTTTAGCCCATCCTGTCCCACCCTATCCGCCAATACCCCGGAACCACCATTGGAAGCATGTTAATTGTCTGACAACCGAAATTCATGTTCAATCTTTATGTAACTTCTTAGTCATTGAACACAAGCAAGTGAGCAAAAGGTGGAGAACCTCCTAAATTCATGAAACCCAGCAGCAACAACAACAACAACAACAACAACGACGTTCAACGGAAAAGAAGGTACACCTCGAGCGCCGAAAAAAAAACTCAACCAAAACAGACATACCTACATATTAGATGCGGCCGTTTAGATAATGTCCAAAGTGAAATCGCGCTCGTTGTAAATATGTTTTACGTTTTTCGACCAAACACACGGCAGCGGCGGCGGTGGCGGAGCCAAATGGCAATGTAGCATTCCGCGGTCGTCGTCACCCTCCCCATTCGCACCGCGATCGACGATCCTTGGGAAGAGAAGTTTCCGAAGTACCCACCATGTTTCATTCCGTGGTGGTGGCTGGCCATCATGGTCTTATCTTGATACGGGAATCACTTTCGAAGCGCCGAAAATTGCAGACAGGAAGTAGTGTAATCCAATAAATTTCGGGAACTCTGTACGGGTGCTGCTGTTGTTGTTGTTGTTGATGGTGGTGGTGGTGGGTATCATGTAGTACTCGCACACTTGTGCTACATTTTTCGTGCGCCGTTGGGATCCCAGGGAGGGTTGGGCTTAGAACGTCGGGCTGGTGAGCAAAAAAAGTGGTGTTCTGAAATATGGGATACTGTCCGGGTGAGGATGGTAAATTGAACATATTTACATTAATTATTTTGACTGCAATGCGCTTTAGATTTCGGGTGGACGAAGAATTGCTTTTTTTCTGATATAAATTAGAATTCTTTATGCACTGCATAAGTTTGATAAAAAAAAAAAAAAAATATATAGACTTATTGTAGTCCTAATTCACGCTAAAATAAGGCAATGCTTTGGTCTTCAGGAGCATGTCAAAACACAAAAGCAAGTAAAAAATGTGTACCCAATATAACAAAAGCATCGAATTAATTAACTATGATTTTGATTACTACACTCAAGTAGAGGAAAGATATCCGTTAAATCAATCTTTTAATTTTGCCGAACTCTCTCCCTCTATGAAGAGCTTTTTGAGTGTGTTGATTTATTTCCTTTACTTCCGTAAAGATAAGCAATTATATCTTTTGACAGATACGCGTATTTCGTCTACTACTTGCAGACTTTATCAGTGCCAAGTACTCAACACCACAAACTTTCTTTGGTATCTTTGATTCCTTGTTTCTCTCCAGAAAGCTTCCGTAACTCTAGACAATTTGATGGTGGTGGTTTTTGGTACAATATTCACCACTCCATCACAGTTTTAGCATAATGGCATGATGCCAAATCGGGCCAAAACAAAGGGTTTTCTTTGTAGCTTTTGATGAGGGGTAGCAATCGCTTCTGCAGGAACTCTTTCTGGTAGGAGATTTACGAACGTTGATTGTGCCTGTAGTGATGAAAGATTTACTTTTTTTTTTGGGAATTTTCAGCCCCAAACGCTGTTTTGATTTTTGGACAAAATCAGGAGACATTCCTATTTTACGAGAGATTCGGGCTTCATCAACATCCTCTTCACCTTTCGATCCATGGCAAGATCAACAGCTATATCTCTGCAAAAAATTTCACTCCTACGTGCAGTATTTCAAAAGTTACAGTAATTGGAAGGTGTCCGGATTAATGTGGATACAGGCTTGTATACTCAGATTCTTGGTTGCAGTTGCACGCTGAAGGTGCGCAGGATATTTAATTAAGTATTAACAGGTTCTAAATGGTGTAGAGCCAAAAACTATAAGTGATTGATTGAACTCGGAATGTTTTTTGAAACAATCTCCAACATTCTGGGACTCTTAGAATATATTAAGATCTCTATCAGCACTGTCTTAAGCATTGAATCATTTCCAAGATTTTCAATTCTCATCATTCTTTGTAATAAAATTGCTAATGGTTTCGACTGGGAATGGATGGATGTTGATGATAACGGCTTTCTCAGTCATAATACATACAACGGTTAAGTTTAGTTGACCCGACGATTTGTCCATGGGTTTTGACCTTTTTCAAGGGAATACTGAATTTAAGTTCTTTAAGTTACAGAATCACATTTTAAGTTGTATGTCTTACTTGGTTTATCGTTTTTGTAACGGTTTTATGTGTCCTGTAAAGTGGTGGTATATTACGGTTAATTTGTTCAATCTTGTCAAAGTTAAACACTTTCTTAACAGCTTTTATTAATGGTAATTCCATTTGTGAATTGCCAAACTGAAATCAAATTATGATTGCAGTTTGATGTTGATATCAAAACTTGATTTCAATTTGCTGTCATTTTGATGCTGGACTTTGCTCGGGTATCGCTACTTATCTTGGATCTAACTAAATGTGTAGCTACGGCACTTATGATATGATAAATAATGGATTCCAAACTGTGCTTTTTAAATAAACTATGTTTGTATAGCTTGTATCATATGTTATTCAACGCTTAGTCTAATTTAAGCATTGTTTACCATGCTCGAAACAGGTTTCAAGAGTTGCACAGCAGCAAAGTATTTTATGCCTAACATCCACTATGCCTAACGTATATTATGCCTAATGGGGTACACTCATCAATGTCACCTACTTATTTCAATCAAATTTTGCCAAAATAATTATAAAAATGCAAGTTGCTTATCTAACAAAATGCCAATTTGGATTTTGTTCTTAATCAATCATCGCTTTGGGCTACAAAACTGGATTTTTTAAATTTTTAGATATTATGGACCCAATTATGTAAGTTGAGTCAAGGAACT